AACACATGTTACTGGAGAAAAGTGAGTCCTTAGTAACATACAAAGTTCATCATACGATCTTTCCTTTGGCAATTTGGGAGTACATAAATCTCGTAGTACCTTGTATGTATCCGCTCCAACCATACTAAGAAGTGCTGATACTCTGCGATCGTTGATGGAATCTCTTTCATTGAAATTGATATTATTCACAATGAAAAATTGCTCTAGTTGCTCCTGATACAATACCCAGTTATCAAGTTTTGGATCAAACGACTGAATTGCTCCAATTAATGCCATATCTTTGTTCACCCTTCGATTTGCTAGCTTCTTTGAATCCTCGTCGCCATTATAACAATCAGTAGCCAGTGAAATCCGCTTTATTACAGAATAAAATCTACATTTGCAATATCAGGATGAAATTATGGTTGACATACCAATCAATAAATATATAATGTTTTTTTTATAACAACTGCAACTCTGATTCTACCAATTCTTATTCACAATCAACTTATACAAAGTGCATAACTAACCTTGATATATTACAGATACAGAGAAACTGAAAATATTTTTTTGTAGCAACTTTTGATGAAGTTTAACGTGATCATACCGATTTTTTTATGCGAAGTTTCGTATCCGTAGAACCATCATCAACTTTTGTTTTTTAAATACGGTCTTGATAATTTTTTCACAGATTCTGAAAGGTTTTTTTATTCTGAATTCAACCATGTATTATACAAGGTGATTCGAATGTGTTTCGACGACCAATTTCTATCCATCATCAATGTTTTTTCGAACTTTCAAAGGAAAAGTGCCATCAGTTCCATTTATTTCTGATCATTTAGTGTCAAACATTGATAGATTAGTTATTCAATACTGAAAAGTGAATAAAAAATATTTCATTACATCATTCAATGCAGCGCTTGAAATTATTGATGAATTCTTACACGAATTACTTTAACAACTTATCTTTGACAATACTCACAGAAACATTCATAACAAATGTTGAAAATGATCACCATTATTTTCTCAACAAAGATATCCTCTTCTCACAGTTGCTTCTAAGACATTACTAAGCATTTCTGGGGTTATTCTATTGAATGCTTCGATGACACTGTCCCTCAGTTCTTCTTCATCATCAAAGCTATTTGCGTGTACAAAGTTTTTGATATATCCCAAAAAAAAAATCCAGCTGTGTCAAATCAGGTGACCGCGCCGACCAAGGGACTGCAGAATGAGTACCAATCCATTTTTCTGGATAAAAACGCACGAACTCCTCTGGAATTATGTACCAATATTCGAAAAAAACGTATTCGGAGTGATGTGGTTTCTTACCGAATCAAAAGCAGTCGCTAATGATATTATTTTCCCCTCCAATCTAATTCCTTTCTCAAATGAAAACAAAATATCGTAATATATGATCACAATAATTTCAATTATTCTTTTTTTAGCCAACGCCTACGCTATGGCTGTACCTCCGAGGAGGTGCATTTCAGGAAACATGTTAATATGAAGAAAGAATCTTTATTTTGATCCCACAACGATACCTTCTTAAAATATTTACATAGAATTTCGAATCACCCTGTATACATTTCACGGAATGATATCCCGCTTCGAATGCATCTATCCTTCCATGTATAAATAATAATAGATTAATAATAAGAGAAAACAACACATATTATGTGTTTTAACAGAATAATATAATCTTTTTTCAAACATTTTGCCTCATCATGGTGCCTTCGCCATTTTGATCATCTAAAAGTCCTACAAAAAAAACAGCCTTCTGGGATTGCCAACAAGTGAACAATATTTGATCTAAGGCTCTTCCATATGGTCAATTGGCATATCCAATTTCAGCACGATATGAAATCGTTTATCAAATATTTCCTGATTGATTGTTTTTCTCTCGATAGGTATCTACCGGTTTCCTTCTTTTATGAGGTTTTGTGGAGATTACTTTGAGCTTGGTGTATTTTTTTAACATTTCATTCCACTATGTTCTCTGCTAGCTAGTTTTCTCTCAAACAGGTCTCTCATAGTGGTCGACGAAGTTTCATCTGACTCTCTTATCATAAATGCTGGGGTTCCGCAAGGATCAATTCTAGCACCAACACTATTTTTACTCTATATCAACGATTTGTTGGAAGCAACTTCATGTCCAGTACACAGCTTCGCGGATGAGAGTACACTCCATACCGCCTTCTCTTCCAGGGCTCCAATACCAGCCAGGCAAATCAGAAACGAACGAGGAAGAAATGTTGACAACATAAATATGGACTTGGCAACAATTCTCGAATGGGGATCCAATAACTTGGTAGTTTTCAATGCAAACAAAACACAAGCATGCCTTTTCTCTAGAAAAGCCGATCTCACTGTGCCAAACATAAGCATGTCAGGAGTAACCATACCTGTGACGACATCCATTTCGATGCTTGTTATTACTATCAGCAATAACCTTTCTTAGGAAAATCACGTGAGATCAATTGCTTAAAGTTCATTCCAAAAACTTGGTTTTCTGTTTCTGACCAGGAGCTATTTCACTTTCAGTCAGCTGCTCATGATCTATAAGGCACAGATCCGACCTGTCCTGGAATACTGTTCCCATATTTGGAGTGCAGCACTCAAACATACCCTGAAACTGTTGGATTCTGTCCAAAAAAGGGCAATTCGTCTCGTATAGGTGATGCCTCGCTCACAAACTCACACACTTCTCTGAAACACCGTAAAATAGTTGGCGATCTGGCACTATTTTATAGATATTTTCATGGTTAATATCTTCTGAATTATCAACAATTGTTCCTCCCTTGGCAGTCCCCGCGAGATTAACCCGTCGAGTTGAGGCTTCGCACCCCTTCGTGGTCAGGTCACTTTGGAGACCTGCAGAACATCTCTTTCCAAAGACTCGTTCATCCAACGAACAGCGAGGCTATGGAACACATTGTCATGGGAAGTGTTTCCCGAGGCATTTAACCTCCAGAAATGTAAGAAGAACACCAATTTTCACCTTATTTTCCTTGTTTCTCACGATGTTCTCTGAACATTACAGGATATCCCTTTTCGTGGGAACCAGAACATAAAAAAAACTTTGAGCATTTTCACTTTTCCGTAGTTGAAATTACGCCAGTTGGGCAATCAGTCACTCTCATTTTATCTGAAATTGTAATTTGTTTCGAAGTGTTTCTTTCCTTCTACTCAGGTGGCGTTCGTGTCCATCTCGCAGATGCCGAACGCCTCGTGGGTATGAAATGCTGGGAAGTGTTTACGTTGGGTCAGGTTCGCACCAGATGGTGGTCATGAATGCCATCTGGGACAACCCTGCACTGATGGGAGCCTAAAGCTCGGAACCGGTCTGTAGGTAGTCAAGCGTTCATGAACAATTTGGGCACATTTCAGCATTTAGGAAGGAAACACTTGCGATCTCATTCGTCTATACGAATCTTTGAATACATTTCGGGAAGATGATAGATAGCCAGGAAAGTAGTATTTTGCTATCGTTATCTAGCAGTTTCGTTCATTCATGAACTTTTGTGGAAATGACTTTGAGCTATGTGTTTAACATTTAATTCCACTTCTGGCTTTTTCGTAGTTATCATCAAAGTTTGTATGCTATAGATCGACAATGAAGAACTGTAACAAAAAATTATGAACTATACGAGATGTCTCATTCAAAAACGAATATGTTGTTCGTATATCTCAGAACCTGTCCATTCGGCAACGTCGAAACTATTAAAAACATCATTTGGAAGACGAATATTCAAAATGGCATTTCGATATTTGCCTTATAGATTTTGTGAGTGAAAAATGATACTTACTTCAATTTTGAGTTTAATATAACAGATAGGTTGGATATTACTTTTCCTCTTGATCAATAACACACCGTTATGTAAGACTACCACTGATCTGACGAATTGAGTTTCTTTACTGCTGGTCAATGAATTTTTAATTTTGACATGAAATTTGACACGTCTCATAATGGGCGAGTTGGCTGATGATGAATTATTGTCATTCAATTACTCCACTGTGTCTTTAGGGACCTAAAGAAATTTTTGCAATACTTCTCAACAATGAGTCTGTGCCTTTTTTTAAATGTATGATGAATTGATATTCATCATACAGGACGTGGAATTAAATTCTGAATTGAGAAAACCTGATCACGAATCTACGTTGAGGTCTATAAAAATTACAAGTTTTCATCGTTCAAGATTGAACCCCTCGATTGGGTGAAAGTATTGAAAAGGGCTATTCTCAGATATATTTATGAACACACAAAAATGGATATATATATATATAAATATGGCATATTGCCAGGAAAGAAGTTGTTTTCTGTTGAATAAACCGAGAAAGAATTAATATTTTCATCACATGGAGAATGCGAATTCTCAATGTATTTCTTTATATATATCTCCATTTTTGTGTGTTCATAAATATATCTGAGAATATTCGTTCTCAATAAGTCTATGCCTTGTTCAAAATTGTTGAATTTCAGAGCTCATTTCAAACGTGCCGTCATTGCCGCCATTTGGCGATACGTCTAATGAATGGTGACGTCAGTTTTTATGCTGTTTCGTTATTGGTCAGATAATCTTCCATTTCCACTCATGAAGCAAGGTTGTCAAGTCACTAATAATTATAATCAATTCATCAGAAAGATTTTAGAGTCCTATCGTTGAATAAAACACGAGATAAAATATAATATGAGGAAGCCATGCTATTATAGTCGATTCTTGACTTTTGTGGACAACCAGCATGTCCAAATATGTCGTATATATCCCATAACAAAATATAACGTATAACAAATATAACAACGTTTTAATTTTTGTAGTAGGCTGTGCAAAATAATTATCGACATTTCTTGAACGTATACCCTGTATATTTTCTTTTCCAAATGAATGAGGAAGTAAAATCCGGAACCCTGTCAAAATTCTATGCGTAGAACACTTTTTTTCCCAACACTTGAGTTATACTATGGCTAGGTTGTGATGGCAAGGCAAGAAGCTGTATTATTAATTTTCTCTTCATTTTAGTTGCGATATCCACAATTCGTGACGCAGTTGCTTGATACGGCAGGTGTTGAAGTTTGGAGCCATTACCTCCAAATATACGAATCTGGTGTATTCCAGAATTACGATTATGGCGAAGAAATTAATCTACAAAAATATGGAACATCTACTCCTCCCAAGTATGATTTGCAGAAGATTCCAGTGCCGATATCATTATTCGTTGGGGCTAATGACTGGTTAGCCACACCTTTGGTAATAATATTTCCCATATTAATATTATTCCCATACTCATCCTATAGAGAGTGATACAGATTACTTTTCATTAAATTTTTTGGTTAGTAGAATGAACAACAAAAAACTAGAGTTTATGACTCAGTCGAGAATGTTTTCCTAATGAAGTTACAAGGTGTCAGAGTTTGATCGGAAAACTCAAATTCGACATTATAATGTCTATACTTCATAAGTTCATTGGAAGTCATATTCTCATTTAATATAATTCTAAATTCCAACAGAAAGTATTTCTTGCCAAGCGAGACAGGTCGGCAAGTAGGTTCTTGAATGAGTCGTATTGAAAATGCCACATAATCATTCACAATATATCATAATCAACTTATCTCTTATATCTGAAGTCCTAGATAGCAGCTTGTGACACATCCACGTGTATATGCATCGCACTAGTAAAATATCTGAACTTGCATACTCTTTAATCGAAGTCTATTACTCTACATTGAGACAATCTTTAGTTATTATTTGAAAAAATGAATTACGTTAACTTTACTCTCAATCTCAAATAAACCTGAAAAAGTGACAGGAAGGAGGTCCATAAATCAAACTATTCGGTTACCTAACTGAATTAACTATGTTCATTATCAGATGGATATTAATTTAATGCAAGTGAACGAGAATCGGATCTGGACCTAACAAAATGACATAAAACTGACTTGATATTCACTGCATCCAAAGACTAGTTGAGAAATAGTGAATGTTAACCATAAAAAACTATGATAATTGAGTTATCAACTCGAATAGTTGATAAGTCTTGAACTCCTAATGAAAGTGAAGAGTTCTAATAACAGATTACTTTACCAGCGTTCCGCCTATCACGTGACACAACTGAACAGAATAAAACTCAAAAACGAACTTTCACAAAATTGTGCCAAACATCACTTTTGTATAGTTAATGTATCACGTGACATGGGGAAAGCGAAAACCCAGCGCCAAATTGTATCTGGCCAATCATGTGATGTTAATCCATCGTTTGGGTGGTATTTAGAAATCTCTCAACTCGCCTGTATTCATCCAAAGGCAACCATTAATAAAATTCAACATATGGTTCGAAACAAACAAGTTTCGCTTGACAATTTCATCATTATTCTTAGAATCTAAACGTTTTATATGGTTGTCTTTGCATGGACAGAAAATAAAAACTAATCTCAGACCCTTTACAGTATGTGTTTGAAGAAATCTATTTGGACCCCGTTCAGATGGATAGAGCTTGCTTTGTCCGTTTTACAATCCAAAAATGATATCAGGTTGTTGGAAAAAAGGCATAGTAAAGAAACCAACAACAATATCTCTCGATACCATGTCCTTCTTCATCATATACTAATAAAACAATAGAAACTATAACAATGCGAGAACACGAAACAAAAATACCTTGGTAATTCCAAAATACAAAACCAGTTTGTATAAACGAAGCTTCTCTTATACAGCCACTAAATGTTATAACTCTCTACCTACTGATTTTCATAATTATAATCTACTAAATTTTAAAAAGAAACTGAAAGCATTACTGAATGATGGATAGATATTTCGATGCATGATAATATATTCTACTTCGCATAGCTCAAGACTTTTACGATTATCAAACTATCGATGGCAATTCTCTTTATAATATGTTCAATAGTACTATTGTATTCTATACTTTTTTTCTCTTTATTCCTTCTTTTTCTTCAAGGGTTAAGTTGTAAAACAGCATCAGCTGACACTTCGCCTCTTCATCTTTGTACTACAATAATTATTTTTTATAAATTTAATGTACTGATATTGTTGCAAGATGAATAAAGACGATTTATTATTATTATTATTATTATTGTTTCTTGAATCTATAAGTATTCTGGTTGGGAGGTAGAAACTAAGAGTTATCACCACATTAGTTCATAAAATGAACGAAAATGGTAGATAGCTGCAAGTGATCATTTCCTAAATGCTGAGCTGAGCCCAAATTGTTCAGGAATCGCTAGACTACCTACAGACCCCGGCTTCGAGCTTTGGGGCTCTCATCATTGCAGGGATGCAGATGGCATTCTTGATCGCCATCTGGTGCGAAACTGACCCAACATAAACACATCTCAGTATTTGATACCCACGAGGCGTTCGGCGTCTGCGAGATGGACATGAACGGCACCTGGGTAGAAGGAAAGGCACATTCCCATTTCAGATAAAATGAAAATGGCTGGTTGTCCGACTAGCGTTATTGTTCGTTTTATGAACTAATGTGGTAATAACTATGAAAATGGATTCGAATTGGCCACGGTAGGAGGAACATGGCGTCTCCAGGCAAAAAGTCAGGTTAATGTGTGTGCAAGTCCAAAATTTTCTAATTACCTGATCTGGATTGAAATCCAATATTTAATGTGAAGTTTATGAAGTGTGTGTGAGAAATATCAGGCTCTTTTATCTCTACGCCGGTATAGAGGCAGGATGATGACGGATTCATCGGATAAGGGGACCATACTTGAAGTCAAACGTGCTCAATTATTTCTACGCCTGTAACCAGGCCGGATCAGCAACGGATTTGCTGGATAAGAGGAGTACATACGATCGAATCTTATGAACACTGATGACTCGGCTTCAGGCCATTGTGATAGACAATCGGTGTCTTATGTGGCGAGTCGAGTGATAATATTATTACATAACCAAGTATTTATTGCTTTTGGGTGTATGATAAATTGACATTCATCATACAGGGCGTGGAAAGAAATTCTGAATTGAGACTCTATCACGAATCTGCGATTAGAGGTCTATAAAAATCACCAGTTTCCATCGTTCAAGTTTGAACCCCCTGATTGGGTATGAAAGTGTTGAAAAGGAATATTCTTAGATAAATTATGAACATACAAAAATGGATATATATTTATATAAAGCAATACATTGAGAATTCGCATTCTCTATGTGATGAGAATATCAACTCTTTTTCAGTTTATTCAATAGAAAACAACTACTTTAGTCTTGAAAAAATTACTTACCTGATCTAGAGAAATTGTTACCGAAAGGAGACAGAAGTCCAATAAAACCCAAACAGAAGAAGAAGAAGAACTATGAAAATCATATATCCATTTTCAAAGTGGCCCCACAGTATTCATATAAGAAAAAAGAGACTCCAAATCGGTTGACCACACTTTATATCAAGAAATTTTTAAATAAGAAAGTGACCAGTTTCGGCACAACGGTCATCATCAGACTAAATAAGACCTGTTATGGGTCAGGAAAACGAACAGTACCATTGAAATTAAATATCATAATGAGCTTCGTGTTGAGTTGGATTCAGTACCATATTTTACCGGCTGAAGAGCAAGAAAAATCTGACTCTAACTTTGAGCTTCTCACTCTTCGTGACCATTTCATTCCTCTTTGAGTATTTGGCTGAAGACAAATTGCATTGGTATTATTTTCTAAATCAAACACGAAATCCAGAAATTCAATCTTTCTTCTGATATAGTCAGTGACATTAAAGATTGAGAGAGGAAGAATGAGAAGGGGAAGCCGATTCAAATGATTCCAATCTCCACTCCAAATGTACTAAGTATACCTATAGTATTTGTCTGGCAGCAAACTTTGATAGCAATCGGTCAAGTATGGTTTGAAGATTATGATGAAAAAAAATCAGTTTTTGTCCAAAGCTTTAACACCCTGTATCGTTATTTTGAGGCATGAATGTCTACTTTTCCGTTGTGTTTTTCTCATCTCCTGGAGCGCACGAAAAGGAATTTCTATAATGTTCGAAGAAAATCGTGCGTCGTGCGTATCTAGGAATAAGGATAGGGACAAAATATACCTAGGTATTGGAGTGTTGTTGAACTTTTGGGAATTCTTCCTCAGGAAAATAATTCCAATGCTTTGTCTTTCTATATCGATTATCAAAATCAATGACGTTCAACGTGGATCACTCTGTATCTGAATGGAGCAAATATTTGAGAATAGAATTCCCATATTATACCGTTCAATCTGTGGTAGAAATTCATCGTATCTCGAAGTGAAGTGGTTATAGTTACCAAGGATCAAAACACAAAAGTCGTCCCACAATTTTTAATAGTGTTCAAATTACTCAATCAAATCATCGTACATGTCTCGTCTTGTACCAGAAGAAAAATGTGAAGTATCGTCTTGAGTCTCGTCTCGAAAGCGATACGAGACGAGACGAGACTCTCGAAAACGAGAATATCATGGGCAACACTATCAGCTATACAGAATGAGAACTGAGAAGTTCTTATCGCAATTCATGAGTTAGAAGAATATGTTTTTATCAATGCGAAAAATTATGAAAAATACCAGTGCAAACTTCTAATTTTATATTTCTTATATCCTCCAACAAAATAGAACAGGAAAATCTAGCAAATGTAAATAATCGAATTTTCAATAGTAGAGTAGGAAAAATGGGAGATAACATTTTCAAAATTTGACTTTATGTTCAAAACGTGACTTATTTGAAGAAATCACATACCGAATTTTATTGCAGAAAGTTCAATCGTTCTTGAATTATTGCGAGGAACCAATTTTCATTTATACTGAATTCATGAAGGCCTCGTGTCCTCACTTAGTGGTCAGGACGGACATCAGGAGTGCTATCAAATGTGGAGCGTTGTCTGTCGAATTTCGTGACACATTAGGTTTGTTCGCGTTGTTCGTTGTTTGGAAAATAAACAGTCTGAAACCATCAGAAGCATGCGCAGTTCCACGAAACTTGAAAAATTCGTACTGTTCTGTGAAATTCCGCATGCTCCTGATGATGGTTTCGGACTGTTTATGTTTTGAACGCGAACAAGCCAACTATTTTTTTTTTCTACATGAAGACAATAAGTGAATTTGCGGTGATCTATTCTGTTTTATTTTTTTTCTACGGCTATAACAAAAAATTGCTCTCGTTTAACTGTGTTCGATACATCAATGGGCAAACTTCATTCTCGTTGGAAATCACTATCATTCTGTGCTCGTTAAACAATATATTATTTCCGTACACCACGACGTATTTACAGAAGCCCACAATTTATTGCTTTGATGAAATATGTTTACTTTTTGTAGAATGCTGAAGAACTCTACTCAGGAATCCAACCTTCCATTCGTTGCGGATACCATGTCGTTCCATACGAAAAATTTAGCCACACAGACTTCCTGGTGGCCAAGGATCTTCCTACCTTATTATACAAATATCTCTTCGAGGTAATCAGAGAACACGACGAAGGACGCTGCGAGGCGACAACTACACGAAATGGATGACGATAGCAGGATGCTTAGGCTGTTTTTTAGATAATTGCCAGTTTCGATACAACTATTTAATTTATAATTATTGCTGACTGGATTCTCACAGTTGATGATGGTCATCTTGAATAAAATGAATAATAATGATAGTACGATCGATACGATCGTATAATATTGTGATATACAACCATTATCATCTTGTCAAATTAGAATGTATTTATTCTATGAACCAGAATCATTCGTGAAATAAAGATTGTAGTCCAATTCATGAGGAACTCTCCTCACTTTACAATTTCAACCATCTTTCAGAAAATACGACGCAAGACCACTAGCTATATCTATGCTCGGTATTTTCATCAGCAATACTCTCTCATGGAAAAATTATGTTCGATCCATTGGTCGGGGTTCAAAGATGTTATGTGTGTTTGTTTGTGTGTTTCTACACCAAAGCAATACACTTGAAATTGATAACAAGTTTGTCAACTGAGGCGTTTCTCGTAGGGGTAAACCCAAGACCATTTATTCAGATAATGGATCAACATTCAGTGGGACTAAAGAGTTAGACACATTAGTCAAATTTTCGGAAGGAGAAAGTGAGTTATTGGAATTGGTATGTTAGAATGACCCTACACCATCATATGGTAACAGGGATTTTGATAATATATATATGTTATAATGAAAGAATGAATTTGAAATGTATTCCTACAAATTCACCAAATTTCGGAGGGGTTACGAGAAACAGGGGTAAAATCTTGTGAATTTCATTTGAAAAGGGTTATGAACAATTCATAGCTAACGTTTGAGCAATTTTAGCTCACAAAAGTGGAGGCCGTGTTGAATTTCTATCCATTGGTCCCTCTTTCCTCTTCACCTGATGATAAGATAAGATAAGATAAATTTATTCGTCAATCAAATATTATACAAGGTTTGGCTCATACACAATGTACAAAACTTATCAGACTATTCAAACGAAGAAATGTTTACAAATAAATACAATGCTAAAATAGTGTACCTATAGGTAAAGTCACAAAGACAAAATATAAAACACTCATACATACACATTAGAAACTTTGACAATATTCGAATATCAACAATTATAAAACTCCTCCACACTATAAAATGCATTTTCAAGAAGAAAGTTCTTCAATTTATTTTTGAATGAAATATCATTCAAGTTAACATCTATTATGTCTCGTATTTTATTGAAACATTTGATACCCATATGCTTTGGTGAATTTTTACAGACTGTCAATCTTGAAAAGGGCTGTCGAAATTTTTCTTCATTCCTAGTATTATACATATATGCATATCTTCATTTCTCACAAATTCGCATTTTGGTTCATTTTTATGTACATATTTAGTTCAAGAATACGACGAGCTTACACTATCTCTATATCGAGAATCAGTCGGGAAAATATGCATGCTTATATTTTACAATACGTTATCTTCATTTAAAATAATTTCAGCAATGCTGTGTCCGCTTCTATCTAAAAGTAGTAACAACTTTGTTATTTCAAGTAGACTACCCTGTATTTTATTCCATTTTTGGATTTTCCCTGAAGAGTTGATTTCAACGATATATCACACTTAGGGTCTATCGGAAATGATTACATAGATATAGGGTGTTCATAATCGAGATTTTTTAACTTTAGGATTTGTTTGTGTCGAAACTATTCATTATCGGCCAAAACGGTTCACATGTCCCTATCTCAACTTTTGATATACTATTTACTCATATTCAATCGGAACAGATACAGGGTGATCAGAGTTCTGAATCTCAAACCACCCTTTGCGGAGGTACAAGTGTCATCAATGTCACTCAGAAAGGCAATGAATAGTAGTGGTCCCAAGATTGAAACTTGTGGAACTCCTTTATTTATTGTTCTTGATTCTGATTTCACATTATTCACTACCGTTGTCTGAGTTCTGTTTGTCAAATATGATGTTATCCATTGAAGTGGAACACCTCTATAACTCCTAACCCTTCCAAATTGATGATTAATAAATCATGATCAATAGTATCAAAAGCACGACTAAAGTCATAGAATAGTCCTAGAACATTTTTTCTATCATTTAGTGCCTTGTAGATAAACTCTAAGCAGTCAGAGATTGCCGAGCAGGTTGATTTATTTTTGCGAAAACCATTCTGATTTGCTGGGAGGATATTGAAGTGTTCCAAGTACTTGGCCAATCTAACACGATAAGATGCTTCAAATATTTTAGCAATTTGACTCTGTATGCATATCACTAGCGGATCCTTTGTTTTTGAACACAGGTATACATTTCGAATTCTTCACATCTGGAAATGGTCCAGTGATTTAATATGATATAATTTCTGCTACAAGAGTACAGACAGATTTGGGAATTTTACCATTTATATCATCTATGCCAGCAGACTGTTTGGATGTTGTCTTGTTTATAATGGAGATAACTTCAAATGGCGTCACTGGTTCAAGGAAGAAGCTTCTGTGGAATCTGCGTATATTTCTATTATCATTATTTGGTATAATAAAATTTCGAGATGACTCTATTAAAAAATCGTTAATGAAATTACTTTTCATGACGGGGTCAGTGATTGCCTGTTCTTGATTATCAACAATGTTCAACTTATTTTTCTGCTCATCACAGTTTCCTTCGTTTATAATCCTCCAGCTCTCTCTCACAACATTATCTGAATTGAGAAGTCTATCATCATTTTTTTGTTTTTGAAAGTTTTTCACTCGGCATTTATATTCTCTTTGAAGTTTTCTATGTGCTTCTATGCAGCTTTCATCCTGTGTTTGTTTTTTCTCTCTTTCCAATTCACAAAGTTGGTCATGCATTTCCTTGATTCCAGGAGAATACCATTTTTTTGTATTATTTTTCAATTTAGTTTTTGTGATGGGAAATGAGATGTCATAATAATAAATGAAAGTTTCATAGAACATTGAAAACTTATCTTGAAAAGTGCTAGCTGAGTATACTTCACTCCAGTCTTCCCTGGATATATGGTATTGAAATGTACTTGTATTAGAATCATTGAATATTCTTTTCTGAATATACTCATTTTTGTTTTCTTCAGTCACAGAAATATTAAGAGTGCAAAGTCACTATTTGGAGTTCTGTATATGTGCTAATAATATAATAATATATGAAATTATTTTTGGTTGGGAATTCGAGTCGTGCTAAACATGTTTCAAAGCTCTTCTCTAGACTACCTTTATAAGCTACTGTTTCAAGGCTAACTTCGTTGCTAGCAAATATAAATACTCCTCCTCTCCGATATGTTGTGTTCTTGCAAAGTATGAGATAAGTTTGTAGTCTTTAATCACTGCAGCAGCAGCATTTCGTTTGCAAACGGAAAAATTATCCAACAACGCGAATGTTCTTCAATTTGGTGCAATAAAGGTATCGCGACGCGGGGTGACGAAGAAATGAAGAGTAGGAGATGTGGGAAGGCCTGCACAAGCCGAAATGGCAAATATACCAGGGCTGTAATAGGTCTGACTCTATCGGCGAGTTTTCGACCTTCGTTATCCTGCCACTTTTATATTAGCAATATCGGGTTATTCTGTCTATATTTTGCCATGAGTTCAACTAGTCCAGTCACCCTGTACTTCACAGTGGGGTTACCTGGAAAAAGGTCCGAAGTTAACGATCTTTTCATATGATGTATGTGGCAAGTCTGTGGTGTAGAATCCAAGTTTTCCAATTCGAGGACCCTGTGCTAACTTCAGGGCATCCGAAAAACTAGTAAATTTTCGAACTTTTTTCAATATTTTGCTTATAACTCCTAAACAACGCATTCAAGCGGAAAACACGAAGTTACAGAACTTAAAGAAGATTAAATTTCCTACAATTATCATCTATCACTTATTTTTTTCACCAAATACGTACCGAGATATAGCGCTTCAAATTCTCACAATATCGAAAAACTGCTAGAAATTCAGGTTCTTCACTAGTATATTTCATCCACCATTTCTTGAAATCGAGGAACTTGTGTCACTAAGCACAAGATTAATTGCTGAAAATTTTGAAGAAGTAAAGTTGAAACGGAAGAATAAGGTGTTAACTTTAGCCTCAGTTTCCAGTGTTCTAAAAATCAAAAACAAAAAATTCACAGTTGACCCTCTAACTATTTTTCAACGAGTTTGCATTACCAAACAGTCTGCTGAGGACCTCAATGAATTATTCAGATTAGAACTCGCACCATTTCCCATGTCCCTCTTCAGTGAGGAAGGTATGATGCGCAAGGGCAAAAAGTCAGCGTTATACGAAGCAATCACTTCTGTAAAGGAGGAATACCTTGGCAGCAGAAAGTGTGCAGTAATTGATGGTGGGTACTTGCTGCCTAAGGTTGTATGGGGTGAGACTACATCACCCACGTTCGAGTCAGTTTGCAAGACCTATGTGGACTACGTTCAGAAACACTTTGGGTGTAATTCCATAGTAGTGTTCAATGGATACCCAAGTGACGTTGCTCATCAGAGCACCAAAGCAGCTGAAAGACATCGCAGGGCTTTGCTGCATTCTTCGACAACATTCGTATTCTCATTAACAACGGCCGTAACACTGCCACAAGAAAAATTCTTGTCCAACGACACAAACAAGAAGAATTTCATTTCGTTGCTGATGACTCAAATGGAAACAAAGGGTATTCAGGTTAAGCAGGCAATAGAAGATGCTGATGTCGTGATAGTGAAAACTGCGATATCTAAAGCTCCTGACTTCGATAGTGTTACTATTATAGGTGAAGACGTAGATCTGTTAGTATTGCTGACTGCGTTGGGCTCATCTCTAAAGAACGTGTATTTCCAAAAGAGTGGGAGAGGTAATGCTCCTAGTACTTTGTATTCGTCATCATCTTGCAAATACAATACTCAGGATATTCTTTTCCTCCATGCAGTTAGCGGGTGTGACACTACATCGAACCCTTTTGTAGTGGGAAAGAAGAAAGTCCTCTCTATTTATGAGAAAAACCATTTTCTGTCTGACATTGTTAGTGTTTTCAAAGATGAAGATGCAACACCACGCCAAATTTCGGTAGCAGGAGGAAAATTTCTTGTGGCACTCTACGGTGGAAACATAGACACAGACACTGTGGACGATCTTCGCTACCGAATATTCTCGAACTCTGTGGCAAAATCCAGATTTCACCTTGCCCGATTGCCCCTACACGAGACGCTGCCCAGTACTATTCTTTTAGACCTTATTTACAAGTGCAGACGTGGCTGGGCAACGAAAAGTA